AGTATTGGAGGTGATATTACTGCAGCGGCGGAGAATGATGGACGTCGAGGTTGCGGTGGTCGTGGTGACATTTTACGAGCATCGGCTAATGGAACTGTATTTATATTACTTGAACTGATTACCGGCGCTTTAATAGATATAAAGAATTGATTAATATTAACATTAATGAATATTAATATAACATTAAGACAACATTAATAAATATATTAATTTAAAAAATGTGTACCATTATGATCACGAGATATCGTAGCTTTCATCATTGCTTTTATCCATCCTTTCATTACATTAACGTCCTCGTGTGCAAAAAAATGAGTTCGAAGCATGTCATGAACTATCTTGAACCCATATTTTCCAGGTAATATATTTTCATCAGTAAGGATGCGATATCCCGTTAAGTCAATATGACCTTTTACTTTAGGATGGTGGATGTCCTACAAATTTACGGTACATGTGTATATATGTGTATTGATATGTGATGTGTTAATACATAAGTACTAATACATAAGTACTAATACTATAACGGTAAGAATGATGAGAATAAATACCTTATTATTCTTAAGATAATAGAGATCTGCTCCTTTCAATATAAAATAACGAGACTTCCATGTTTTATATTTATCGCCTTGCTTTTTAAGCCATCCTTCGTAATCAGGTTCGCCAATGGATTTCAATACTTCCAAATCCATAGCGCTTAAATCTTCTATGGCCTCCCATTTATGATAATGAGGACTTCCAGGTCTAGTAATGCTAAATAACGATCACAACAATCAAATGAGTCAAAATACAATTAAATTTTTGAGTATTGATAAATTCAAATATTTACTCTAAAGACTGTTTTGGTTGCATCACAGGACTCGCGATTATACTTTCCTAAGAGATAAATTATAAGTAAATATTTTTTTTTGTAGAATCGAGACAAAAAACGTGTAGATATTGTAGATAGGTCACAAATAATTACTGGATGTTTCTTTCTGCTAAATCTTAATCTTCGATTTTTCTCTGAACTCGGAGACATTGGTCGAACATTATCATTAATGAATTGATTCCTGTCCTCCTCATTATTCTAAAAAAACAAAACAAAAAAAAATTAGTCGATTATAAATATAATTATTATTATAATTATAATTACAATATTAAGTTAAACATAAATATTACCAAATTTATTTCATATCCACCTTCAGAAGATGATCGAAGTTTATTTCTTTTCTCTTTGGATTTTTTTAAAGAATTCCATTTTGACAAAATTTTATTTTTTTTAGGTTTAGGGTCAACTGCCTGTTTACGGCAATGATACAATAGATTAAAACCATGAACATAAACATTGATATAAATTCATTATAAAAATTTTATAAACATATTACTTCAACATTTACAATATCAACATCTTCAACGCGTTTTAATCGAGCATAAGAAGCAGGAGTATTGCTAGCAGAATTCCTGGGCGATTCTGGAAGGCCAGGAAATTTCATAAACTCATTATTAGAAGCGTATCTACCTAACGTAGGGCTACTGGTGTTATATTTAGCTTGAAAACGATAAACGGGAGTTTGCACTGGAGAATATGGTTGAACAGAACCGGCATACTAACAAAAGAAAAAATATATATATATATAATTAATCAGGAATAGAAATATAATTGCATACATATGAATGATAAATTTTACCAACCTCGTCTATATCCGATACATCATCATCAGGACCAACGCCAATTGAATATTTGGCTTTAAGCGCATTTATGGCATTCATTATGTGTACGCGTTTTCCAAAGGAAATTACATTTAACTCTTTTAACGTAGATAAATGAAGCTCGAGAAGAACATCGCCAGTTATATCATTATCTTTAAGGTGCAAAATTAGCAAAAATCATAACGATAATTATCAGTTAAAAATTTATAATTAACAATTCATAATTAACAGTTAACAAATCATAAATAACGATAACGATTCATAATATTCTTAATATTCTTAATACGTATTCATAATTAACAATTAATAGTTGACAATTAACAGTTAGCATTAATTTATGATATCTTACCGATAAAATTGTTTATTTCAGAACCAAAACCGACCTCATCTAACCATCGGCAAACCTGCCTTACATCCCAAGTTGATGGATGATCCTTTGTCGGAATACTTTGTCTCGGAGTTGATACAAATTCATTAGAAGTTATGGGAGAAACTAAATCTGCAGAATTGACATTTTTTTTGGGACTTTCAGCAGATTGTCGATGTGATGAACTACTAACGGTACTAACAGTTCTTGAAGAAGATGGTGATGATAAAATCAATCTATTATGGCGACCTTGCTTTGGTGACCATGGATATTGTTGTGGTTCAGGATGATTTTGATTTAATTGTTTTTCATTAACTTTTAAACTCATCTTTCTTAACTTATTTTGTATATCATCGATGGTTTCTTCAATAGACGGTGTTGGCATTCTAAAAGGAGGTGAAGGGACATTCGAATCTGAATTATTTAAATTCAGCATATCATTGGGAGTAGAAACCATTTGACTATAAAAACTATTATTAAGGGACTCCAGTTGTCTTGAAATGGGTTTACTATAACTAGTATGATTCATTGGGAAAAGTCCAACTCTTCCATGAATATTTTTTCCCTGCATGATGTAAAAAAAAGACAATAATGTAAGATAAATGGAATTCGAAAAAAAAGAAAAGTGAGTTCAACATCAACAATGCAAGTCAAAAAAAAAAAAAAAAAAAAAAATTGAATTAATTTACC